TACTAAAGTTGTACTACAAAGTCGCCAGTTCTCATCTTCCAGCTCCCAGCTACTCCGCGTACTAAAGTTGTACTACAAAGTCGCCAGTTCTCATCTTCCAGCTCCCCAGATACTCCGCGTACTAGAGTTGCACCACAAAGTCGCCAGTTCTCAGCTTCCAGCTCCACAGATTGCTCCGCGTACTAAAGTTGTACTTAAGTCGCCAGTTCTCATCTTCCAGCTCCACAGATACTCCGCGTACTAAAGTTGTACTACAAAGTCGCCAGTTCTCATCTTCCAGCTCCACAGATTGCTCAGTGTACTAAAGTCGTACTACAAAGTCGCCAGTTCTCTTCTTCCAGCTCCCCAGATACTCCGCGTACTAAAGTTGTACTAGAAAGTCGCCAGTTCTCATCTTCCAGCTCGCCAGATACTCCGCGTACCAAAGTTATACTACAAAGTCGCCAGTTCTCATCTTCCAGCTCCACAGATACCCCGCGTACTAAAGTTGTACAAAGTCGCCAGTTCTCAGCTTCCAGCTCCACAGTTTGCTCCGCGTACTAAAGTTGTACTACAAAGCCGCCAGTTCTCATCTTCCAGCTCCGCACATACTCCGTGTACTAAAGTTGTACTACAAAGTCGCCAGTTCTCAGCTTCCAGCTCCACGGCTTGCCCCGCGTACAAAAAGTCGTACTACAAAGTCGTCAGTTCTCATCTTCCAGCTCCCCAGCTACTCCGCGTACTAAAGTTGTACTAGAAAGTCGCCAGTTCTCATCTTCCAGCTCCCCAGGTACTCCGCGTACTAGAGTTGTACTACAAAGTCGCCAGTTCTCAGCTTCCAGATCCACAGATTGCTCCGCGTACTAAAGTTGTACTACAAAGTCGCCAGTTCTCATCTTCCAGCTCCCCAGATACTCCGTGTACTAGAGTTGTACTACAAAGTCGCCAGTTCTCATCTTCCAGCTCCCCAGATAGTCCGCGTACTAAAGTTGTACTAGAAAGATTACAAAGTCTTCCAGCTCCCCAGATACTCAGAGTTGTACTACAAAGTCGCCAGTTCTCATCTTCCACCTCCCCAGATAGTCCGCGTACTAAAAAGTTGTACTACAAAGTCAGCTTCCAGCTTTACAGATGCTGTGCCGGCCACGAACATGGAGGTTCACAAAGTGCTGTGCCTGCGACGAATTCTGCACATGGAGGTTCACAAAGTGCTGCGCCTGCCACGAAATCTGCACATGGAGGTTCACAAAGTGCTGCGCCTGCCACGAAGTCTGGACCTCGAGGTTCACACAGCGCTGTGCCTGCCACGAAGTCTGCGCGTGGAGGTTCGCAAAGTGCCGCGCCTGCCACGAAATCTGCACATGGAGGTTCACAAAGTGCTGTGCCTGCTACGAAATCTGCACATGGAGGTTCACAAAGTGCTGCGCCTGCCACGAAATCTGCGCGTGGAGGTTCACTAAGCGCCGTGCCTGCCACGAATTCTGCACATGGAGGTTCACAAAGTGCTGCGCCTGCCACGTATCATGGAGGTTCACACAGTGCTGTGCCTGCCACGAAATCTGCGCATGTAGGTTCACAAAGTGCTGTGCCTGCCACGAAATCTGCGCATGGAGGTTCACAAAGCGCTGCGCGTGCCACGTAATCTGCACATGGAGGTTCACAAAGTGCTGTGCCTGCCACGACATCTGCGCGTCAAGAAACAAGTGAAAACTCTAATCACAATGGAGGGACGATTCCGAGAATGATCCGACCATGATCCGAGCATGACCCGAGACCGTCTCGCACACAGTGTTCCGGAAAGCTGGACTTGCCAGCTTCGGAGCCACCCCTTCTATTGAAAAACGCAGCATTTCGCGCGTCCGCTATCTCTCAAGAATGCATTTTGTAATGCGCCTGCCACGAAATCTGCGCGTGGAGGTTCGCAAAGTGCTGTGCCTGCCACGAAATCTGCACATGGAGGTTCACAAAGTGCTGTGGCTGCCACGAACTCTGCACACGCAGGTTCACAAAGTGCTGTGCCTGCTACGAACTCTGCACATGG